ACATGCGGCAAAGTTACCGACTAAAATATGAATTTAGAACAAAAATAAAGAAACTAAAATTTTAATTCGTTACAATAGGAAACAAAAAATTTCGATAATTTAGGAAGCTATTTTTTATACGACCACATTTATTGTCACGACTAGAGGTATGAGAGCAATGCCATAATTGGTCGTAATTATAATAAATTACGACATTTCTTGCCGCAATTCATTATAATTACGACCAATTACGGTATTGCTGATTTTGACTGATGACAAATATCACGTGACAATTTTGGCCAAATCGCTTTTTAAAAGTCCCGCCGCATCCGCGCAGATCATGCGTGTGTTTCACGGGTAGTTTAAACCAGGGTAAAATCACCACTCTAAAAAGTTTCGTGGCCAATCATATCTCAAGATCAGGTGTAACGTTACGCGATCAGAAAAACATTCGTTTTGTCAAAAATCGCTCATAACACAAAATTTAGTCTATAAAACTGCCTTCTGCGCATTAATTAAAGTTTTCCTTGTAAAATTTTGATATAGGAGTGTCACTAGTCACAAATCTAATGATATGATCCTAACCTAAATCACGAAATTTTTCCTTGAAACTTTTTGGTGGCTCGATGATAGTTTAACAGAATTTCGGTAAATTTTAGCCGGAATTTTGTATTGGCCCGGATTATAAAAAAATTCCCACTCGTCATGTGACGAATCACGCGTGGTATCCCGCGCGTTACTAACCTAAAAAATTTCGCAATGAATACTTTTTGTTAGTGCGCAGAAGGCGATTTCATAGATAAAATGTTAAGTTATGGGTGGTTTTTGGTTTGCTTTGGTTTTTCGCATTTCTTCTGCGTCATACCTGATATTGAAATCAGATTGGCCAGTGAAATTTTTTAGGTTGGTAACGCTAGGGCAGTTGTGTCGCCCATCACTACATGCAGATCAGGAAAATCAAAACAATCGCTTCTTTTGTCAAGAGGCGCTTATTTCTCAAAAGTTTGTATAAGAAACAACCTTTCATGCACTAACCAAAAATTTTCTGAGCTGTTTTGTTACATAATCTCATGAATTCTAATACTAATCTAGGCAATAACTTTATCATAATCGAACTTAAAACTTTGTGTGAAATTTTTTGATGACGTAGTCATTGGACTTATCTTCATTTCAATTAGAGTTAGTGCTTACGATATGGTTAAACGTTAGTGGGCTTGTTAGCAAAGTTTCTCAAGGAGAACTTTTGTTAGAACATTAAAAGATTGTTCCTATGCAATTTTCGACCCGAATTTTCACGTGATTCGTGCCCTCCAACAAAGCAAGAATTTTGAGTGAAGATATCTCAACAATCACCTGATCAAATTCCGATGAATTTTTTTTATTCTAATTATATGAGTTAGAAGATTTGAATAAAAAAATTTCATCGAATTTGACAAGATAGTGTCAAATTTTTAAGAGTTATTTTGATGCGCACTTTGAGTTTTTTTTAACTTTGAACAGAGACAACTGCCAACCACTTGATAAATTCTTTATTTGAATCCTCTAGACTCATCGAATCAAAATGCCATCGAATTTGATCAGGTGGTTGTCGAAATATCTTCGCTCAAAGTTTTTGTTTTGTTAGGGGCATAAATAATAGTCATAGAGTGTATAAAAAATAGTCCATAATTTTATTATCTGATGTCGGATAAGTCTTTAGGCAGGACCTTTTTTTCATCTTATGCCCGCCTTATTAATTTGGTTACAGTTCTGATAACCGAGAATCAACAATAGGACACATGTCAGCTGCTATCAGAAACTTTTCGATTGTGTCAACAGAAAATTTTTCAGTTGTTCCAAGAATTTACAATTGTCACAGATAATAAAATATACAGGATCCAGAACAAATATATTGATTTTTATTGTTTAGGATTCATACTTGGGCTCGATCTAATCTTTTAAAAAAATATTCATACGATCAGGTCCACTATCACGATTAATAGTTCATATTTGTAAAAATAGGGATTGGGGCTAAATATCATTCGATATAATATCGGAGGAGGAGATCATCCACTTCATCATCACATGAGACTTGGGGGTGATGTGCCGGGTTTTCTGCCATGCAACGCTTCTGATTATAATTGGACCTCTGATGCAAATCAAAGATGGATTTTATTTGGTATGAAATTTTTGAAGATTTTATCAACACATTTTAATTTGCATTAACGTACAACAACTAATAGCTGCGAGAGAGCGTGGCGCTAATATATTTGAGGCATTTTCAAATAGGTGTGTAAGCTATATTATAAGTTTTTTTAAAAAAATAATAAAATCATAAATAAAATAAAATATAAAAATGAATATATTTAATTGATACCGGGGGATATTGATATCCGGGGTACTATATCTCAAAAACTTAATAAGAAAACAGGGTCAGGTGTACTAAGTAAAAATGTTCAGAACCCCCCAAAACCTTATATAACCTAAATTTGGACCATTTTATTCACCCTATTTTGGTGTAAAACTGCACCCTAAATCTAAATTTTAGTAAAAACTATTATATCTCAAAAATCTGACTAAGAAACAGGGTTAGGTATACTAAGTAAAAATGTCCAGAACCCCCAAAAACCTTGTGTAATTTAAAATTTGGACTATTAAATCTGACCTCTATTTTGGTATTAAACTGCACTCTAACCCTAAATTTTAGCAAAAAACTATTTTTTATTAAAAATTAGAGGGTGGATATTAATATCCCCCGGTGTCATATACATAAATACTATAAAAATTTATAAATAATAATAATTAATGCTAATAATAATAAATAAATAAACTTGCACTAATACAATTGAACTTTACAGCCCTCCATATTGGATGACCATAAGGTAGGTTACAAAAAAAAAAATAAATAAAAATAAAAAGATTAATAAGATCGGTTTAAATCTCTGGATTTTTTATAGCAATTGTTCTTCTGGAGGTTATAATGGTACAAATAATCTCAAACCCGAATACTACAATGCATTTGCCAAGTACCTAACTGACGTTGTTGATTGGTACAGCAAACAAGAAATTACTTTCAGAACTCTAGAGCCATTTAATGAACCTTCTAGTAAAGATTTTTGGCAAGAATATGGTATGTAAATACTTTTGGGTAAATTTTGAATCTTAAGTGCATAATCGAATAGCAGGACCAACTTCTGCAAATTAATTGCAATTGATTATCATATGTTTGAATCAATTTAAATTATCACATATATTAAAATTTAATTAATTGGTTAAAGGTTTTTTTCTAAAAATTATTTGATCATTTAAAGATTAGTTGCTACAAAAGTTTTATAACTTTTTTATTAAATTCATGTCACTATTAATAAAAAAATATTTTTTAAGTATATAAATAATAAACATTATCTATTTAAACAGGTTATCAAGAAGGATGTTCTTACAGCTGTCCTGAAATGAATATAATTATTAAAAAGGTAATCTTACTAAAATAAACAAAAATAAAGCTATCTATTAAAAATGCCTTTTTTAGATCGGTACTTATCTTAAAGACAAAGACCTTTCAAACAAGACATCCATTTCAGCCGTAGATGAAAATAAATTCAATCAAGAAGTTTCCACCATAGAATGCATCGATGATGATGCTAAATCATATGTTAGTCAGTACAATACTCATGCTTATAGGGGAAATCAAAGACTAAAGCTCTTAAATATTTCAAAACAAGATAGAAAGAAACTTTGGATGAGCGAAGTGTAAGAATATTTGCTGCATTAATTATTTTACAAGTATTTTGGAATCATGCTTAGTTTTTTCTATCAAATGGTGGAATAGTGGATTAGGGGTATCAAGAAATTCAAGTGATATGTCTACAAGCATTATTCTTTCTAAGAAAATTCTAAACGAAATGAGAAACCTAAAGGTGAGAAAGACAATAGATATAGTTAAAGAAAGGTTTTATTTATATGATGTACTTTGATAGCATTATTATTTCATTATTCTGAAAAGCCAGCTGCATAGATTTATTGGCAAGTAATTGAAGATATGGTTAGTTACTTTTAATTTATTATTTATTTAATTATTTATTTATTTAGTTATTTATTTATTTATTTATTTATTTATTCACTTATTTATTTATTTAATGGTTCTAAATATATTCTAATATTAAACTTTTTTATGTTCAATAGGAGTATGCCGATGACTGGGGCTTAATCGGTGCAAATTTTAGTAATCCAACCTCTCCTTTCAATATACGTCTAGCATTTTTTGGATTCTCACAATACACTAAGTTCATTCGCCCAGGTAGATTTTTTATTCACATATTTTTAGACATATGGGAGGGAGTCAGTAGAAATGGGACAAATTTTTTCTAAGTAAAAGTTTTCTTAACTTTAAATTTAAATACTTGTCAACTATCTTATTAAATCTAATAAATTTTTTTTTTATTTTAATTTCAGGTAATTCTAGAATTAAAATAAAAA